TTTATAAAAATATATATGCCTATATGATTTCTTAGCCTTAAAGTGTAATCTCTATATTTTCAGCTCTAGTCCGCGACTACCCGCAACTGCTAGACTCGGGTATGAAAAGACAAGACGTCGTTCACTCGTTCCTCCGCTTCGGTCGCCGACGCTGACGCGCTCCCTCGCAACTGAACCGCCACCGAAATGCAGCGACGAGGCTTGACATAGTCCGTACTGTTTAACCATCACGCGTTATTCAATCAAATTTTATTTATAAGTTGTACTTTGTCCAAAACATTTTAAAAAGTTCCTTGTAATTTTAACGGTATAAATGCGAACGCGATGTTATCAAATATCGATCTGATATATGCTATGGATCTAGTGGGCAGTATTTATAATGCCCGGGCAATATGAAAAATGACAAGTCACCATGGTTATCACTTTTAAGACAATAAGTTAATGATGTATGTATCAAATCCGAAATTAACAAGTGTTAAAATGTGAAGGAAGAGAAATAACACTTTGCAGTATCAAATAGTAGCAATGAAGTTTTTCTTCCTTTGCATTACAAAGTAATTCCCTTTGATTAAAAAAAAAACTTTATTCCCATTATATTGAAGTGTTAAATGTGTGACATAAAAAAAAACATAACCTAACTCATATTTTTGTTACCCTGATCGATAACGAACTTTATCATAAAGCCCGTTCAATTTAATTATTTCAATAGTATTTATCAAATATAGCCTAATCATATTAGGCCGTTTAAAAACTATCTGGACATTATGAATAATGACCTATTAATCACTTGGTCCATAACATATAAGTTTTATTGCGCGCCGTCAACTAAAACGGACGTGGATAAACCTCTTTCTTAAATTTCGTAGAATAAAGGATAAGTGTAGAGTAAATTTATGAAATGTACTTATTAATAATTCAAGTATTAATAGGTTGTAAGTATTAAAATAATATTGTTGTCAACATTTCGTCGCGTTTCGTTTGATAAGCAGAAATATTTAATATTGTAACGTTTTAAATAAATAAATACATATTTGTGACAAGCTGCCAGCTTTTTTGTACCATCTCTAAGTAAAGATTTACCCGGGGGACGACTGAAGCTTTTTATAATGAAGTCATAAAGGTATTATTAATTAACCGTAACAGAGGGTAGTCGTCTAACAGAAGGTATCGAGTATCCTTTATCTTTACGCACATAAGTTTTAGATCTTAAAAGGCGTAAGTGAATCGTATACCCTATATCATCCCGTGTGTATCTTAAGAGGCCACAGAGGGAAATGAAAGAGGAAATTGGCAGGAGCTTCTTCCTAATAACAACTCAAGTTAAACCAATCGTAGCAGCTAAGGTAAATATCCCCGCGGTCTATCATCATCAGCCTGCGGCAGTCCACTGCTGGACATAGGCCTCTCAGTTTCCACCAACCACCTCCTTGGGCATATCGTCACTCTATCTAGTCAGGGAGCGTCCCTCTCCACCGGCTGTCACTTCTGAGACAGGCATGACCACCCCATTGCCACTTCAGTTTACAAACGCTATGTCAGTAATTTTGGTTCTACGGTGGATTTCTTCATTACGAATTTTATCCACCGGAAAAATCTGAGCAAAGCTCTTTCCATCGCTCGCTGAACGACTTTAAACCTGAAGTGTAGCCGTCAGTGTCAACGTTTCGGCCTCTAAGTGAGTATGGGCAGGACGCATCGGTTGATGACTTCAACTAAACTAAACAGGCGACGAGAAAACCCGACGGAGCTTTCTAAATCCTGCCCAGCCTAATTGAATCCTCCGATGGGCTTCCTTCTTAAAGCTAATCTTTCCTAGTTACAATATCTGTCCGAGAGGTAGGATATTCCTGGCCATTTCTCAACACTAATTGGAATTGACATGACGTCTCATCCCCACTATCTATGGTTTTATTCCATCAGTGAATTTTGATAGGGTGTAATGAATTAATATTTAGAGCTTGGAAACCAATATAAAAGACTTCTGACGGATTTACTAGATTGTGGGGCTACTGGCAGCTCATCTAAATTGGTATCAACCTTTTACTTATTTCTGGCGCCGAACAGGACACACACAGATGACTTCCGGTTTAAAGGTAAGAGACGCAATATAGTTACAGGTTTTGAAACATTCCATTCAGTCTGAAAGGGTGACAACGCAGTTATGAGATTTATATCTAATAAATAAAACAGTTGTTTATTGGCTGAGGGTACTGTAAGCTTGTCGGTTACCACTTTGGTCTTTGTAGATTTTTTTATTTATTTGTTAAATATCACCAAATGTGTTAAATTTTTAGAACATGTATCGAATTATAAGAAAATATCTCTAGTAGTAGCACGTACAAAGTCTAAGGTATTTGAAAAGCAAATAAATTCTATCATGGTCATAAAACACTATGGGGAGTTTCTTGCCAGTACTTCTCTGAGAAGGTCTTGTTTTTTGCAAACCGGTGTAGATTTTGACGGTCATGAGAACTTTAAATCAGACTTAATCAAAATAAAATAATTTGACTTTAAATCGCATCTGGAAAGTTCCATCGTCTGAGATAAATTATGAGGTAATGGTACGTGGCTTAGTTTGAAGAATTATTACTCAGCAACAGTGCGATGCTCAAATTTCGTAAAGTATCTATAAATTTTAACGTCGACACTTTTTTATTTCACACTTTGTTAAGTGTGGTTGTCACGACCTTGGATCGCTATTGACGAAGTATTTTCTACACTTTATAGTAAAATAAAACAAATCTTAAAGAGGAAAGTTTTACTAAAACATTCACAGATACATAATTATTGATTCAGAAGTTTAAAATTTGCAAATACTTTCTAGTTCTCTCTCAATAAAAGGCAAAACCCTGGCTTTAAACTTCCTTAATAAACAAAATTGCAAAATATATTAGGCGTAGCACAAGGAAGTACAATTGGACCGCTACTTTATCTTAAAAAAAAAAATATATAATATATATATATATATATATATATATAGTATTGCAAAATGGTTATAGAGTTTCAAGCAAATTAATAAAAATTAGGTACAGTCACCTACAGTTTCCTGCAGAAGATAAAATTTGTTATAGGGTATTTAAAACACTTATATAAATATCAAAATCGTTTTCAATATCAATTGATTTTATCATATTTACAAAACAATGAAAATATAGATAATTAATTTAGACGTCCTGATCTATATAATAAGTATAAAGCGTAAAAACACGGTAAATATTTCGAAAGATCAGTATACTATGGCAAGAAATAAAATTAATTCGTTTCACTTCGAATACATATTTGTGGAAGTAATAACAGTAGGAAACATTATAATATTCATCAAATCGTACCTTATCATGTTATGTTAGTACACTTGGTAATAACTCCTATCTATTTAAAGAAGACACCAATAATTCCTTATATAAAAGAAATCATTTGATCAATTAAAAAATAAAAAAAAAAAATATATATATATATATTACTTTATCAGACAGTAGCATTAATTTGTCTTTAGAGTTAATAAAAAACCAAAACAAAAACAAATAAATGGCCTTATAGCTTCATCGTCCGCCAACAAATCGTGTTCAATCCTCACCGGTACCAATAAAATTGTTAATTCGAATTTAAGGTGAATAATTTAACACGTGGTCGCCAGTGAAGGTAAACATCGTGAGGAAACCTTTATGTTCTCTTTTATGAATGAAGGATGGCCTATGCTTACTCGTAGCAGCGGGACGCTATCTGTTGTTACTTCCTTTTAGTGTAACCTCTAGTTATATATCAGCATATAACTTGATAAGTAATACAACAAAATACGCTTATTATTTAAATTTAAATTGTCATGTTTTCAATCTTAGGCATGAGAACAGTTGTCATATAAATGAACTTCATACACATTTTCACCTATAAAATATATTACATTAAAACTGTCATACAATAAATTCCATTCAAGGTACATACAGTAACGTATTAGCACGTATTCAGTTCAATTAAAGACACACTTCTCACAAAAATTAAGGTAACTAAAAATTTTTCATTTTTTAGTTACCGATGACGATGTTTCTTAACGTGAAAATGATAAAATAATTTTAAAAAATTCGGTCTTGCTCCTTAATTTTTGATGAATATGAAAAAAAACCCAGAAAACCTTAGTTTTGCTATCAGTATTTGATAAGATGCGGCGGTTTTACCACAACTACGGAAAAAGTCAGGTTTTTTTTCACTTTGCGAATGAAAAAACTTTTTTTCTTTAAATTTCTTGACATATTATTTTAGAAAATTTATTAAAGTTTTCGAAACTGCCCTTTAATTTTCTGTACGGTCACTGGTTGTTAAGATATTAATGGTTGGAAACAAAAGGGTTTTTTTTTAGTTCAGTTTCGGATATTTCCTCTACAAATAGACGTAGCAATAGAATAAAAAAAGGAATTGAAGCTGAACAACCAGACTATCTGGTCCATATGCTTGTTCAATCGAAAATATACTTTGGAGTCCGTGAAGCAAGAAATGACGATGTTTCTTAACGTGAAAATGAAAAATAATTTTAAAAAATTCAGTCTTGCTCCTTAATTTTTTTTTTTGAATGATGTGATGAATAGGAAAAAAAAACAGAAAACCTTAGTTTTGCTATCAGTATTTGATAAGATGCGGCGGTTTTACCACAACTAGGGAAAAAGTCATTTTTTTTTCACAAAAATATGAGGGAGAGTAAAAAATTAAAAAAAATTCGAGCTATTTTGTTGGCTACTACTATCGCTTACTAAAACCGTGCCTCCAAAAATTTTTCTGTCAAAAAATCAGAAGAATGGAAACTTAGAGCTACAAAATTCATTTTTTTAAGTTTCTGCTACTATTTTTCACTGAGATGGACATGGAATTTTTTTGCTTCCTTAATTTTTGTGAGAAGTGTATAACAAATCTTTACGAAAACCTACAGCATATAAACGTGGAAAATACAAAGATATAATATATCGATATCAGGTAAACAGTATAACTATAGATATGTAGGACACAAGTTATAATTAATAAGTGACGTGAACAACATCTCCGCCAACTGAGAGCAGACACTGTCCCTGAAACAAAACATTGTTTATAGCAACTAACATTTTGTTGTAGAGCCTGCTGCAGCTATCATATGGTTGCAATACGAATGGGTCAGCTTGACCGAGGCAGCAGCTCAATGATGCTGTGTTTCGTATGGCGAGTGTAGAGATCCCTTTTTAACGCAAACAAGGCATTACATCTTAGTCCAAAAGGGTAACAACGCATCTGCATTTCGATTCTTAATCGATACATAAAATTTAAAAAAAAATCCTCTCAACTATGGAACAGGACCATAACCAACAGTGAATAATTTACGGGCTGATGAGAAAAAGCATGAAGGATATGGTAATTGCCAGTGATGACTTACGGAGCTGAGACGTGGTCCTTCACTGCTGGCCGTATGAGGAAAAGCCCAAGGTCGCTCAGCGAACTATGGAGAAGGCTATGCTCGGGGTTTCCCTGCGTGATAAACTCAGAAATGAGCATTTCCGCAGTTGAACCAGAGTGACCGATGTAGCCCAACAGATTAGTAAGCTGAAGTGGCCATGGGCCGGCCATATAGCTCGAAGAACCAATAACCGACGGGGAAGAAAGGTTCTCGAGTGGCAGTCTTGTACCAGTAGGCGTAGTGTAGGACGAGTCAATGGATGCAGGTGGCTCAGGACCGTGCTTTTTGGCATTACACGGGGGAGGCCTATGTTCAGCAGTAGACTTGTGAAGAGCTGTAATGATGATGATGATAATGATTCTTAAAAATATCTTGCCGAACGTAGGCTTTTGATTGTCTCGTACTTTCCAGAGGGATATTTTCCATAGATGTCACGATTCGCAAGCGGACTGACCACCGCAGGTTTTAATTATTTTGCGCTATCGGAAGATGCCTCCGCTTTCTGTTACCCTCTGTCGCCTCTTATAATACTCACGGGATGATATCAGGTAGTGGATTTTTTTACGCTGTGACTTCGCGGCAAATGACAAGACTTTATTGATGTGTAAAAATTGATGAAGTGCAAAAAAAAAGTGCCAAAGTGCAAAAACCTGATTCTTGTGCGCGTTGTCTTGCAACATGAGCTGCGTTATGTAGAAAGATGTGAGCGCGTTCCCACCCAATGCTGCAGTATACGCACGCACTATGGCTAAAACCTGAACATCATAACAGCATTTTTTATTATAAGGTACATGACGGTAGTATAAATGAAGAAAAAAACACTTCGAAAAATCAATTCAAAAAAACTAACTACACTAAACAATACAAAAATAGACTAAAATATTTATTATAATATCAACTGTCAAAATGGCGTCGATAAAGCACCGCCCTTTTGAACATTTATTATTTATTTGACCTATAAAAAGCTATCGTATCACAAAACCATCAACAACAAACAGCAACAAGAAAGTAGTTTTTGAGTTATAAGAAAATTACCATATTAACCGTATGATCATATTACCCTCACGTGCTACACGAAATATATTTCATATTTTTTTTAAAAAAGAATATCAACAATGCTATAAACATTACTAATATTTCCCTTAACCACTCGCGGTAAGCTTAAATTGCTTGTGTTACGAGTGGTTCACGCCAGTAGTCGAATGGCGGATTCGAACCCACGACCTTTTTGAATTCGCGGTCCGCGCCCTGCCACTAGGCGACTGTCGCTTGTTTTATTATTGTTACACTAAATTTTACGTGGTAGAGTTAAGCTGCAGCTATATGTTGCAGCACGGATGTATCGGCTCGACAGGGGTAGGACCAAACTCTCACAGGATACCAGCGTGACATAGCACCTTGGTGCTGATGTGTTTTATACGGTGAGTGTAGAGAACCGGAGACCCTTTTCACTGGAAACGAGGCATTCCATCTAAGTCCTCCGACAGATGTAGTGTCTTTATGAGCCACAGCATTCACTTAACATCAGGTGGACTGTGTACTCGCTTGTCACACTAATTATATAAAAATAAATAAAAAGATATGTAATGTGGTGCATCAAAATAAATAAATTATGTTGATGCACCACATTACAAAATTTCTGGGAGATATCGACGGCAGCTGGTGGCCTGATGGAAGACGGATGGTTAAAGATTGGCAAACAAAATGATAAGTCTCTCATGACGCCTAAGCAAACACATTATTTTGAGATTTACATCGCCATCGAAATACTTGTTTTATAAATTCCACTAATTCGTAGTTCGTATGCGCAGACATATAATACATAAAAGTACACCACATTTACGTATGGAAATCCACTTCAAACCATTATGTTGTGCGCCATTATTAATGGCCTGGTACATGGTGAGTTGCCACTAGTGCCAACTAGTATCGAGTAGCAGAACTAGGAGAGCTTTCTAGAAAATTCCATACTAGAACTTTACACCTAGTCAGTCGCGACCGTTATGTTCTCGAACATTCTAGATGTTTCAGTAGAAGAGGCCCTATATAAGGCCGGTAAGGACCGCGACCGAGTCAGTGTTGAATTGGCGATACAAGCGAATACTTCGAAGCGATATAACTGCGAACTAAAGTGATCAGTAATATCGTGTTTTTGTGTTTTATTATTAGTTTGTTTTAATTTGTAATTGGTGTTCGGTAATTAAAGTGTCAATTTTAGTTATTCAATCGGCAGTTTTTAATGTCACGAACCCCAAGCTCGTAACAATTATTTAAGCAATAATACTCGAGCAGCAGTCGGCCGGCGGTCAAGTCTCTTATACGTGGTAAAGCCAAGCTGATGGTTGTAGCACAAACTGGTCGGCCCAATCGGAATAGCAAGATGTTCTCACAAATACCAGCGTAAAATTACAATTTAGATTAGAGAACCGAAGACTCATTTTACTGGAAACGAGGTATTTAATCTTAGTACTCACGGGTAACAACGCATTTACATTTTGATTCTTAATCAAGGATAAATGTAGATGTTTATGGACCACAGCATCCACTTACCATCAGTTGGATTGTGTGCCCATTTGTAACTCTTTTCATATAAAAATGTATAATAGTTTGACTGTCTTGTTGGTATAGTGGTCGTAAGCACGGTTGATGATTATGGGTTTGAATCCCGAATCGGGCCAAAATCAGCATAATGGGTATTCTGTCGAGAAAATCTCAGTAATAGCCTGGAGTGAAGACTTTAGCGGGGTTTCGACCCCGTGACTGGAAAAGCATGCAGAGCCGTAGGTTCTGCACCAGACCTGCACTACGACAGTGAAGACATAGAAAGTGCACATGTGCTTGCGCGCATACGGCACTATAATCCTATCTTCAGCAGATGGCTCATCATCGTTGCGAATGGCCGTCGCGACCGAAATTCCATTTGGAGGACATTAATGCAATATTGCTGCACCGTGGCTCTACTGTGTTAAAAATAGTTAGACATAGAAGTGTTTGGTTTGGAGTGACGGCGTGTTTATCTCGCAGGTGAAGTGGTGTATTTACCTCGCAGGCGAAGGTGTGGCGTTTTTATCTCGCAGGCGAAGGTGTGCAGGAAGCCGCTGAGGCCGCCCAGCTCGCGCACGGCGGTGGTCTCGCACACGAACAGCAGCCGCGGCGCACACACGTTTACCTCGCAGACGAAGGTGTGCAGGAAGCCGCTGAGGCCGCCCGGGTCGCGCACGTTTACCTCGTAGGCGAAGGTGTGCAGAAAGCCGCTTTGGCCGACCAGCTCGCGCACGTATACCTCGCAGGCGAAGGTGTGCAGGAAGCCGCTGAGGCCACCCAGCTCGCGCACGTTTACCTCGCAGGCGAAGGTGTGCAGGAAGCCGCTGAGACCACCCAGCTCGCGCACGTTTACCTCGCAGGCGAAGGTGTGCAGGAAGCCGCTGAGGCCGCCCAGCTCGCGCACGTTTACCTCGCAGACGAAGGTGTGCAGGAAGCCGCTGAAGCCACCCAGCTCACGCATGGCGGTTGTGTTGCGAACGAACAACAGTCGCAGCACACACACGTTTACCTCGCAGGCGAATGTGTGCAGGAAGCCGCTGAGACCACCCAGCTCGCGCACGTTTACCTCGGAGGCGAAGGTGTGCAGGAAGCCGCTGAGACCACCCAGCTCGCGCACGTTTACCTCGCAGGCGAAGGTGTGCAGGAAGCCGCTGAGGCCGCCCAGCTCACGCACGGCGGTGGTCTCGCGCACGAACAGCAGCCGTAGCGCGCAGACGCGGCGCGCGCGCGCCCCATCCACGCTGCTCAGCGTCGTCACGCACACGCGCGCGCTCCCCTACCAAAATCCACACCATAATATACAGTATTTTCAACTAACAACCCTATCCTAAGGCTCTAGCGACGGTTTTCGATTGCCTTAGTGGATATTAATTTATAAATAAGGATTCTAACTAAGCAGATCACTAACGACAAGACTTACCTGCGCTTGGATGGAATATCTTAAAGCGACATTTGGATTTTAGATAATCAAATACAAATGTCCATTCCAAAACCATACATTTGGTGGCAATAAAAAACTAACAGTAACTATTATAACTAGAGGTCGGATAACGGGGCGCTTATTTACCTTAAGTTTACACTTTTTAGCATTAAAGAAAGATTAATATGAACATGCCATTTTGAATCCCTCATACTAGATTGCTTGAAAATCCTGAGATTAATAAAAATGTTACCTACGCATAAATATTTCATGGGGCCAATTATAAATTTGATATTTAATTGAATTCTTTCATACTTATAAAACATAAGTTTTTAATTTCATTATAGTCAAACTAGTTACTAAGAAAATGTATACGAGGACTTGTTCGTCTATTCTCGCTGTCCCCCACTGGCAGACATTGGGAAAAAATTTGCTATATCCGCAAATCTTCCCGTTGGACCCTACTGGTGTATTCTGGGAAGAAATGTAATACATTTTTCCTCAGTGGTGGATATCTAAACCAAAAAAGTTCCTATTTACATTACACTACTTACACTATTGATTTTTGTAATCATTAATGCTCAAAAATATATAGAAATTACAAAAACAAAACAACAAATAATACTATTAATAATACTATAATTTATATGTGGTAGAGCCATGCTGCAGTTATATTAGTAATATAGTTGTAGCACGAATGGGTCGGCTCGACCGGGGAGGAACCACGCTCTCACAGAATACCAGCGTCAAATAGTAGCTTAATGCTGCTGTGTTTCGTATGGTGAGTGTAGAGAACCGGAGACCCTTTTTACTGGAAACGAGGCATTCCATCTGAGTCCTCACGGGTGACAACGCATCTGCATTTTGATTCGTAATCGAATATAGATGTAGATGTCTATGGGCCACAGCAACCACTTACCATCAGGTGGACTGTGTGCTCGTTTGTCACCCTATCCTATAAAAAAAAATAATAATACTTCAGTCATCTATTACAGCAATTACAAGTACCCATTGCTAAACGTAGATCGCGGAATTGCAGGTGCGTTGCCGGCCTTTTAGAAAGGAGTAACCTCTTTACTTGAAAGAAGGAAAAATCGCCAGTGTTAAACTATTTTGTTTTCTTGAGTGGAATCCCCCCCCCCTCCCGAATACGCCAGGCAGCCTGAGTATGCGCAGGGTGGCAGATATGTAAACACCACCCAGATATGGGTGGTAGCGGGAAACCGCCGCAGACAAAAACTGGCCAAAGTTGGGAGTACCTGTGGTTCCTTTAGGACCAGAAATGCCTGGAGCTTAATACCCCTAAGAGATGGACCTTCACGGGCTTGTCGTTGCTGCTGTACATAGAGTTGCGTTCCCAACTTGCCAGTCTTTCGACTAAGACGGAAATTTTTACAGAAGAAATTAGCCTCCTCAGCAAGCGGATGCAGGAACGGTCTAATTCTACTGAGGTGGCCCCTTTGCCAATACAGCTAGCACCTGTTGCTTCAAAACCTGGGAGCGGGTAAGAGGAGGAGCTCGTGGCAGATATAGAAGCTCTTATGGACAGGAAGCTGGCTGACTTCCATACCAGATTGATTCTTGAAAGGGTCCCAGCCAACCAGCCGCTGATACCGCGGGAACAGCTGCCAGCGTGCAGCCACAGCCGTTACCACCGCAAACAAAAAAAAACGAAGTCCATGGTAGCGACCATACAGGATGGTGCTGGGAAAACTCCGGCCTTGGTCGCCCCCTTAGACGGAGGCTGTCGATCCGGACCTGCTAGGAAGACAGATCAGCACGCTTTTTCCAGACCGGTCCTCAGGTCCTCAAGTCCTGCAAGTTACCTGTCATCGCCATGTCAGTGGCAAGATGAGATGGGGGTGTACTTCAAGGACCGATCCCTTAGCCGCTTGAGAGCCCGTAATACCGCACCGAGGCCAAATCGAAATTTAGTACTGAGTCTGGCTGTCGTCGGGGTCAGGCTTAGGCAGCTGTTTACAGACTATCTGCGAAGTGCTAAGTTCCCCACAACATGGAAAAAGGCAAGGATGGTCCTCTTGAAAAAGGAAGATAGGGCCTCCGATACTCCCTCTGCGTACCGTCTCATATGCCTGTTGAATGAGATTGGCAAATTATTTGAAAGGATAGTTGCCAATCGGCTCAACAGACATCAGTCGCGCTCGCGCGTCGGTCTTGATTTGGCTGATAGTCAGTACGGATTCCGACGGGTGCGTTCACCTGTAGATGCCATTATGCACGTCCGCTCACTGTTGGAACAAGCAGTATCCCAGGGTGGTATAGCGTTGCAGATAAGTCGATATTTTCAACGCCTTTAACTCTTTACCCTGAGATGCAACCAGGATGGCACTAGCATATCATCAGGTGCCTGCTTTCCTACAAGGCTTAATCGGCGACTTATTGCGCGATAGGTACATTTTGTAAATGGGGCAAGATGGTAGGAAGATCCGGAGGGAAATAAAATGTAAGGTTCTGCAGGGCTCGGTGCTGTGGGACCTAGCGTACGGTGTGGTTTTGCGAGCTGACCTTTCTACGGGCGTAAATATCGTGTGCTATGCCGACGACACACTGGTGGTCGCCAGTGGGGTCACATTCCAGGGGATCAAGGAGCTCGCCGAGCTTGGGACGGAAGTCTTCGTTGCCAAAATTCACGGTCAAAAACTAGCACCTCCTAAGTCCGAGGCCCTATGGTTTCACAAATTACCACGTTTACGTAGGTGGGTCTGAAGTCAGAGTGGGGCGATACATGAAGTACCTAGGGCTCCACCTGGACAGTCCTGGGGCTTCGAAGAGCACTTTGAGCGCCTACTATCCCGGATTGAGAGGGTGGTGGGTGCTATGCATAAACTGCTGCCCAATCTAGGGGACCAAGGGAGGAAGTGCGCCGCCTCTATGCGGGGTTAGTGCAGTCCGTATGAGGCGCCTGTATGGGCGAAAAGGCTAGCCATCCGACGCCGTAGATCTAAAGCCTACAGTGTCTAGCGGATGATGGGTATACGGATCGTAGGAGGATACCGTACGATATCCTTTGAGACGGCGACAGTCCTTGCTCGCTTTTTATTTGTAGATATACTGACGAATCTGCATCCTCTGTCAGAGAGATGGCGTCGGTTAAGTTAGTGGCGAGCATGGTGTATTCGTGTGCCCTAAATGAAGGAGTCATCGGACCCTGAAAGGGCTATCGCCATCGGGTCTGCGGTAATGTGCGAAAGCGTTCCCGTAACTGCGACTCAGGATGAAGAGATGAACACGGTAAGAGTCTGGGATAACCTGTCTGACGGCTTCGCGACAGACGGGTATCCATGAGGATTTTCCCCACGAAAAAAAATTAGGTTAGGTTTAGTCATATCTTGACTGGGGACGTCATTTTCATAAATTAGTTACTTAGGACAAACCGTTGAAACAGAAACTTTTTTATTCAATATGGATTATAAATAATACCTATTGAAAGTCACTTTTTCATTCATTACCACTGGTTCGCAAAAAAAATCTGTCCTGGGAATAACCAGCAAGAAACCTAGCGGGACTATTTTTTTTTAATAAGAGCTTACAATCATGTATGTTAACAGTTAACATTAGAATAAAAATTAGAAATAGCTTAGTAGTGATCACCCTTCCCAGGGGTTATTATCATTCAAAAATTCCTTAATATTATAATAACCCTTTTTATACATAGTTTAATAAAGTTTTTGAACTTTGTGTATGTCAAATTTTGTATATTTTATGGATTTTGTTGTAAAAGCGTATATTCATCGCTCCAAAAACGAATTACTGACTCGGTGGAGTCGAGTAACAGGTACTAATAGTAGTTTTACTTCACTTTCGCTATTCCGTCACCTCTTAAATCTTCAATACATTGCCGATTAAACATTCGATGTTGTATAGAATACCTAGGTAAAGTATGAAATAAATTATGTTTTATACATTGCCTAAATGTTTAAGGTATTCAATACCTCGGTATTCTATAACAATAACGAATTATACAGATAGGCGATAACACATATTACAACAAACGTAAAGTGAGAGCATTTACATTCTTTATCTACGTTCACCAACCATTATAGACATTTTAGACACTGAGACATCTCGAGTGAGAACTTACCTGTCCAGCATTCGACTTATTTTCCACCAGTTCTGGTGGTGCCTTAACAAGGTGTTCTTCATCAAGCGCAAAAATATCATCATCGGGCTCAGCTGGAGGGGTTGAGCCTTGAGTACCGTTTGGTACTTCCATACGACCTGCCCCAATCAACGGTATGGCAGTGCCTGATACCACCAACTGTATTTCATCCTGCAGAAAAAAACGGCAGGTTAGATAAATTTGACTTAAAGAAATAGAATGGTGGAATATCGCTGCCCCACGGAGCCGTCAACCTTCGACTCGCAACTTTGACGCCGTTACCGGTCGCTGGACTGGGTATTTTAAGTCTGGCGAAAGGGAGACGGTTATACCGCTATCTATCGAAACCCATAAGATATTTTGCCATTTCCTTTAGTAGTTTCTTTAACGTACCCACAAAGATGTGTCCAATATTTTTATCCATGGTTTTTATGTAAATGTAGAAAACATCTGCGACTTCTCTCACGTCCATTTTCAAAATGGTTTACCCTGATTGCAACATTTCAACAATTTCTCATCTTATTTGCGACTACTAGCCATAAATGGTTAACGGTAGTAATGCGTATTAAGAGTTCGAATCGTTGTTGGTAGGTGTGATACGTAATTAATGTAGTACACAAACTAACGGTGGCGTCTCATTGACTACCGTTCCTATCAACGGTGGCAAGTATTTGTTCCCTTTGAGCTATGTACGTATCTATTTACTAATAATTGTTTGTTTTACTTAACCCCAAGACCTTAACATACGTACCTCGGGCTGGTCCAGGTGGAAGGCGGGCGTGGCGAACGCGACGGGCTGCAGGCGTCGCAGCATGAACGCGGCGCCGGCCAGCGCACGCTCCGCCAGCTGCTCAGTAGCAGTACGCACGTACAGTACGTACCTTGGGCTGGTCCAGGTGGAAGGCGGGCGTGGCGACCGCGACGGGCTGCAGGCGTCGCAGCATGTACGTGGCACCGGCTAGTGCACGCGCCACCAGCCGCTCAGTAGCAGTACGTACAGTACGTACCTCGGGCAGGTCCAGGTGGAAGGCGGGCGTGGCGAGCGCGGCCAGCTGCAGGCGCCGCAGCTTGAACGTGGCACCGGCCAGCGCACGCGCCGCCAGCCGCTCAGTGGCAGTACGTACGTACAGTACGTACCTCGGGCAGGTCCAGGTGGAAGGCGGGCGTGGCGAACGCGGCGGACCGACCGCAGGCGCCTCAGCTCGTACGTGGCACCGGCCAGCGCACGCGCCGCCAGCCTCTCAGTAGCAGTACGTACGTACAGTACGTACCTCGGGCAGGCCCAGGTGGAAGGCGGGCGTGGCGAGCGCGGCGGGCTGCAGGCGCCGCAGCTTGTACGTGGCACCGGCCAGCGCACGCGCCGCCAGCCGCTCAGTGGCAGTACGTACGTACAGTACGTACCTCGGGCAGGTCCAGGTGGAAGGCGGGCGTGGCGAGCGCGGCGGGCTGCAGGCGCCGCAGCTTGTACATGGCACCGGCCAGCGCACGCGCCGCCAGTCGCTCATTAGCAGTACGTATATACAGTACGTACCTCGGGCAGGTCCAGGTGGAAGGAGGGCGTTGCGAGCGCGGCGGGCTGCAGGCGCCGCAGCTTGTACGCGGCGCCGGCCAGCGCGCGTGCCGCCAGCCGCTCCCCACCGCCGCCACCGCCCCCCGCACCCCCCCAACCGCGCGCGCCACACCTACCCGCAAACACTCGTAGCGTTGTATCACAAAGAACATACCACGTGTCTAAAGTTAAGTAGGCACCTAGGAGTGAACAAATTGATGACTACCCATCATCATCATTACAGCACTTCACAATTCCACTGCTGAACATAGGCCTCCCCCAAGTAATGCCACAAAGCACGATCCTGAGTCACCAGCATCCATCGACTTCCTGCATGTCTTACCAGGTCGTCACTCCATCTCGGGGGGTCGCCATACAATACGCCTACCGGTACGAGGCTGCCACTCGAGAACCTTTCTTCCCCATCGGTTATCGGTTCTTCGAGCTATATGGCCGGCCCATTGCCACTTCAGCTTACTAATCCGTTGGGCTATGTCGGTCACTCTGGTTTTACTGCGGATAAGCTCATTTCTGAGTCTATCACGCAGAGAAACTCCGAGCATAGCCTTCTCCATAGCTCGCTGAGCGACCTTGAGCGTCCTCACTTCATACGGCCAGCACTTCATGGGGGGTCAACTATGGCAATAAATATTGCCATAGTTGGCACGCTTGGGGAGCGGGTTGGCAACTTGGCAACCACAGTTTTTGATGTTCCCCAGTATTGACCCGATCCCAATTGATGGCTACCCAGGGAAATTTTTTTCTTTTTTTAGACTATAGTCTTAATATATAATACCTAAAATATGGTATAGCGTGTCAAATTATAAATTATTTAAAAAGGGTTATTATAACTTAATTTTTCCCCTGGGTAGTTATCAATTTGTCCAGTTCCTGGTGCCAGCTTAAAGTTGAATTTTGGAACACGTTGTATACCAAACATTGAGTTAATTACATTATTGTATATTAAAAATAATAACAATTTAAAAAAGCATTCTAATATAATTATAACATAAATAATAATATAATGATTTCTAAAAACAGTAACAAAAATTTCAATATGGCAATAATTTTTCTAAAATTATGACAACAGATTCATGTTCAATGATTGAAAAAATCTTCAGTAATCGAATTTAATAACAATCAGTCGACAAGCAAGAATTTTTAGGATGGTGGTCGAATTCATTCGTTTTTATGAAGAATTTACGAGTATATTCGTAGTGTACACTAACTCGTGCAACGTGGCAATCAATATATATCATCATCATTACAGCCCTTCACAAGTCCACAGCTGAACATAGGCCTCCCCCAAGTAATGCCACAAAGCACGGTCCTGAGCCACCTACATCCATCGACTTCCTGCATGACTTACCAGGTCGTCACTCCATCTAGTGGGGGGTCGCCCTACACTACGCCTACCGGTACGAGGCTTCCACTCGAGAACCTTTCTTCCCCATCGGTTATCGGTTCTTCGAGCTATATGGCCGGCCCATTGCCACTTCAGCTTACTAATCCGTTGGGCTATGTCGGTCACTCTGGTTTTACTGCGGATATCCTCATTTCTGAGGCTATCACGCAGAGAAACTCCGAGCATAGCCCTCTCCATACCTTGCTGAACGACCTTGAGCGTCCTCATACGGCCAGCAGTGAAGGAACTCGTCTCTGATCCGTAAGTCATCACTGGCAACACGCACTGGTTGCACACTTTAGTTTTCAGAGATTGAGGTATACCTGACGAGAAGATGTGTCGTAATTTCCCGAACGCTGCCCAGCCGAGTTGAATCCGTCGATTGACCTCTCGGTCGAAGTTGGACTTACCTAGTCGGAGTATTTGTCCCAGGTAAACGTACTCGTCAACAACTTCGAGCATAGTGCTCCCAACAACTACCGGCATAGGTGTGACATGGACATTAAACATGATCTTTGTTTTGTCCATGTCTTAAGACCTATCCGTTAAGAGACACCATTGAGGTCATTGAGCATAGTGCTAAGGTCCTCCAGCGATTCTGCCATAAGGACTATATCGTCGGCAAATCGAAGGTGAGTGATGTACTCGCCATTGATGTTAATACCGTATCCTTTCCAGTCCAGTAGCTTGAAAACGTCTTCCAACGCAGCGGTGAAGAGTTTCGGGGATATAACGTCACCCTGTCTTACACCTCTCTGCAGTTGGATAGGTTTCGAACTCTGGTTCTGTACTCGGATAGCCATCGTAGCCCTGCTGTACAAACACTTCAGCACTTCGATATACCGACAGTCAACTTGGCACCGCTGAAGGGACTGTAGCACCGCCACGCCAAGCAAAGTGGCAGATTGCACTCTTCGGTCTTCTGTACAATCTGCCGCAGGGTATGTATGTGGTCTATGGTACTGAAGCCTTTTCGGAAACCGGCTTGTTCGGGAGGCTGGAAGTCGTCGAGTCTGCGTGCGAGACGACTCGTAATGACTCTCGAAAACAGCACGTAGACGCGGCTCAGAAGGGAAATCGGTCTGTAGTTCTTCAAAAGAGCGTTGTCGCCTTTCTTAAAGAACAAGACAGAAGGCACCGCACATCTGCTCCACGCCTCCGGAGTAGTGCCACCATGGAGAACGGAATTGAAGAGCTTCTGAAGGACTTCAAGTACCGGTGTTCCACCCGCTTTCAGAAGCTCCGCTGTAATTCCATCCTCGCCCGGGGCCCTGCCGTTTTTAAGGTACTGGAGAGCCATTCTAATCTCGCTCAGACTGACGTCCGGGATACCATCGCAATAATGTCGGGTAAGACTTGCTCTTGGATCGTTACTCACACTTGTGTGTGGCTCCAAGGATGATGTGTACAGCTACCCATAGAACCTCTTGTTCTTACTCAAAATCTCAGGTGTCCCGGAAACGATGCCGCCACCCTTAGTTTTCAGCTTTGACAGTTGGCTCTTTCTGGCAGTCAGATGTCTGGCAAAGACTTTGGAGCCCTAGTTCCACTCGATCGCTTCTTTAATACGAGCAGTATTAAAGTTGCGTAAGTCTCGCCGCACGCATTTGGAGATCTGTCTGTTCAGTTGCCTGTATGCTGTCAAATCTGTTGACGATTGCAGCCTCATCTCCCGTCTAACAGCCATGAGATTAAGAGTGTGATCGGAGAGTTTTTGTGTTCTTCTGCGACGGGTCTTGCAGAACTTAGCTCCGACCGCATGGACAGTTTCCACGAGCTTCTCATTCAAATCGTCCACTGCATTGCTATCTTCTAGGCACTGAAAGCGGTTACGTAACTCGAGCTGAAAAGTCTCGGGATACTGGATTAGAGCACGAGGCGGACGGAGCGTTGACTTCATTAGACGAGACCTCTCCAACTTAACGTTTAGGTTCACTGTGCCTCTAACCATTCGGTGATCGCTGCCGGTTTTCACCCTTGCGATCACTGAAACATCACTGAACAGTTGGCATCTGGTAGTCATAATGAAGTCGATCTCATTTTTTGTCGAACCGACGGGGCTCGACCAGGTCCACTTCCTGTGGGGCCGCTTATGGAAGAAAGAGTTCATCATAAAGAGTCCCTCTTTCTCCATAAAGTCAGCCAGCTGCTGGCCCCTACGGTTCCGTTGCCCTACTCCAAATTTCCCTAACTTCAGCTCACCCCCTTCTCTTGTGCCTAGTTTTGCGTTGAAGTCTCCCATCAACACCGTGTAGTGGGTTTTGAAGGAATGCTTGGCTCTAGAAATATCCTCATACATTTCCTCCACCTCCTCATCGGGATGTGCCGAGGTTGGTGCGTAGACCTGTATGACCTTCAGCGAATACCGTTTGGTGATTCTGAGTATCAGGTACGCGAACCTCGTCGACACACTTCCAATCTTTACAACGTTGTTGACGAGAGACTTGTGGACGATAAATCCGACACCTCCTTGGGACAGATGGTCGTCCTCCCGGTGATAGAACAAGTTACCGGACTCGAGGATTACCGTGTCCTCCCCCTCTCTTCAGACCTCAGATAATCCAATAATATGCCAGCGCAACTTGTCTACTTCTTTTTCCAGCTCCAGTATCTTCTCGTCAGTCCTCAGGGTGCGTGCGTTATACGTTGCCAGGTCGAGTCGGCGTAGGTAGCAACCGAACCTCCACCGAAGATTCTTAGCAACCCCTGCCCCGCCGTTACCATGGTCGCCACCGTAGCCAGGAATAGCGGGGCCGCCGGGGACTGGGGGTCGTTTATTTGCGCCGTTGCTCATGGGGATATTTGCCATAGTTGCCACGCTTGGCGAGCGGGTTGGCAACCGCAGTTTTTTATTATGTTATTGTTGTTATCAGGAAGATGCTGCTGCCCATCTCCTTCCTGTTTCCCTCTGTCGACTCTTACGACACCCACGGGAAGATATGGGGTAGTGGATATTCTCAACCGCCACTATATATATATATATATATATATATATATATATATATATATATATAAACATATAAAATATTCCATATATATGTACCTCTTTTTTTTTCTAATTAACATATTTTTTTAATTTTATAGATAATTATAGTATATGATTTTTGACTATATGACCTTCGATTGCATAAAAGGAAAACCCGATATCATGTAATTTTCTCGATAGAAAAAAAAAAGATTGCAAAGCAGGCTCTATTTATTTACATTTCTCCATAACACCACCATATTCTTACGAATAAGTTCATGAATTTATTTTTAAAGCCTAGTAAATAATCATATCTTAGTTGTCATAAACCTGTTTTTTTAATCCATAACGAAGTTTTGTTAAATATAATAAAAATGTTGTTCGGCGCTTACTTAGTTTTTTTTTCGAGCGTTTGCTCGGTATGGCTATTTCATAATTTGCGTACTATGAAGTCATTGCATCACTTTCATATTGACACTCCCTCAGTCGTCCGTTAGCTTCACCGACAAAAGAACAAGCCACGCCCCCAAAACTTCGATTCATTTTCAAGGTATCCTCTTACACAGTAACCAGGATAGCAAACTAAAAAGGAACGGCTTCATAGTATACTGTAAGGAGTGATGTCAATTCACCACGTCACACCTTGCAGTGGTTACAGTGTATATCGGAACACATTGAATTTCGAATAACAAAATAATTGACAGGTTTGTCATGAAAACAATTGTACATTAAATGAATATCGTAAGACAAAAGAATAGACAAGTTTGTCAGAAACACAATTATACATTCCTCCCACCTAGAACATTTTGTTCTACTTGTATGAAAAACAAAATAAAAAACATATATCATTAAGTACACCAAATAACGACATAAAACACATAAAGTAAGAATAAAGTTATTGTCATATTAAATAATACATTTTAAATGTAGAAAATTATAACACAATATAGGTATAACCTTGCCCTTTCAACAACAAAAACAAATTATTCAGTAACAGGTAAAATACAGATTCTATTAGTTGGTCTCTTAATTACAGATTTTTTGGTTTGTAGCGTAACCACACGTGTGATTTTATCCAGACCTGAATGTTTGCAATGACTCTACAGTATTCAATGACAAGGAGGCCGGTCACCTTTCTTGATTATCTTTCATTTATGCCATTGAAAAAATCGATGAAAATATTCGTTAGACCATCTGCGAAAGGAAAATATGTTGCTATTTTAAAAATAACCATCAGGTGAAATTAGATTAGGTTCACCTACGAGAGAATGTCTTGGTGTCAGTATGTCTATGGAGTCGCTACTATCACATAACCTGGACAACAGTCGAGGATTAAGACACGCCCCTATTTGTGCTAATGATCGTGATGCGTTTCATGTGGAATTTGACTAATTTCACTCCAGCCTCCCACAACCTTATAAAGTTTGGTGAGTTAGGTGGAATAAAATCCCAAGAAGTTCCATTATTGGCTAGAGATTCAGTTACTTCCTTTACTGCCAAGTATGGTGTACAGTTTGTGCCAACATTTACTCGCAAACGACTGTAATCGATAATTTCAGAAGACTGATAAACTCATCATAACAATATTTGATAATCAACATCTGAATAACTTGTCGATATATTTTTACTATATCAACTGCCATGCATATGCGATGTTGTCTCCAGCGTAGAATAATAGGTCTGAGATCAGCTTGCAGAGTAGGACCTACATTAATATATCATTTACAGGACGCATCTAAAACTTGTCATCCCGCACTACAGCGTGATGCGGTAGGTACACTCCTACATTTTTATTAACATCCGGTTTTGGAACCTTCTCTGTATGATTTAACTATAAGTATTCATTTATAACCTGTGTGTATTTATTTTTAAAATCCTTATTTTTAATTTAAATTCTTTTCTAACGCCTAAAATTTTTTTATACCTACATCTCTGGAATTTTCGTATGTATTTACAGCTCGGGTCTTCGCTTCTAAGAGGTAAACTAAATGTAAATCTTCCTTCAGTATTGCTGTAAGTAGTTTTCGCATAAAACTCTTCACATTTTATTTCCACTTTTGTAAATGAAGATTTAAATTTTGTGTCAGATCCAAGTTCCCGAAACTTCTTTAGTAGGTTAAACTTTTATTTGTTATAAATCAGAGATTTAATTTTTATAATAAAAAAAATATCGACAAACATTATATAGATATAATTATTCGAGGATAGACATTTACAGCATTAGTAATGCACTGTTTTTTCAAAAAATAAATGTCATGTCTTGATGTTGGTAGTAGTTTGGCGTCAACCTCAAGGTGTGTACTTACGTGCAATTTTGGCTACACAATCTAGTGTAATTGAGAAATTAGTTTTAAATAAAAGTTTATCAGATTCTATTACATTAATACACAAAACAATGTCTTAGTGGTTTTCTCTTGGATTTTTTGCACATTGTTAACTCTCTTTTTAATGTTTCTACTTTTAGGAATAGCTTTAGTTGGGTTTATTCATTTCTAATCTAATTAATATAAAATATAAGTAATATTTCAGAAAGAAACATAAATCGTTACATTTTCCTAACAATGTTCATTTGTCCGCTCCCCCGCTATGAAATCTGTCAAATATTTCACCCGGTGGCAGCTAGTGGTGGCTGCCAACAGGGCGCCAGTCTCACCTGCATGAAGGCGTGCGGCGGAGCTCCCCGGGCAGCACGCAATGCGGGAGTGTACACCTGCATGCCGGTGTGGCGCACACACAACGACTTAGCAGTTTCCACCTGTCAACAATCATATACATTGTTATTTAAAATTTAAAGAGCTTACTCCTTTCTAAAGGGCCGGCAACGCACCTGCAATTCCCCTGGTGTTGCGGTTGATCATGGGCGGCGGTAGTCACTTAACATCAGGTGAGCCGCATGCTCGTTCGCCCTCTCTTCTATAAAAAAAATTCGCTTCCTGCACTCTTTTTCCATATAAACTTCAATCACATCATTCCCAGGGGTTAATCATCCATAAATGCCTTAATATTATAATAACTATTTTTACACAAACTTAGTTTAATAATGTTTTTGAACTTTGAGCAGATCATATTTTGGATATGTTCTGGGATTTTGTAGTAAAAACGTATACATCCCCCAAGAATGAATTACTGGCTCGGTGGAGTCGAGTAACTGGTACTACTAGCTCGTGTCTGTTCGTAGCATTTACTGAATGAATGTCACTTATTTTTGTCAAACTACTTTTACTTTGGTGTACGTACATTACATTTACATTTTCATAAATGTATTTAAGTTTAGCCACCCAGGCTAAAGTTAATATATTAATTTCCTTAAAATTTTGCCTGAACGATTATTTTGGTTTTAAATCATAGATTGCTTTAATGGCCTTCTTCTATAAAACAAATTTAATTTCAGCTTCAGGCGCGTGTCTCCATAGCAAAATACCATACGACATTATGCTATGGAAATAGCTTAAGTAAATTAGTATAGCTGCTTCAACACTGGTAAGATTTCTAATCTTTTTTAAACATACTCAATCTAGTCTCTTGCTTTTGATACAGGCCCCCTGAAGCTTCGAGTCTAGTGTGAATCCAACAAAAATGGTGGTATCGACATGACCCATCTACTACATCCAATGCCAAATCTGCTAGGGCATAAAAGGCATGGGTGTGGAACCTACATTTTTTGAACAAAAGTGCGCGCTGCGCACGTTCAACTTCTAAAATTTGATTTTGGATGCACTATTCCATACAGAAACACAGTAAATCATAACAGACTGCGCCAAGGCAACATAGATGTGTTTTAAAAGGTCTTTATTCGCAGAATGTCGCAATATTTTAAAAATCCAGATTAATTTTCTGGTGCGACTTGTTATTATGTTAATATGGGCGTGCCATAAGAGTCTGTCATAAATTATTACTTCCAGACTTTTTTGGTGGAGTTCACTTTGGCAATAATAGGAGAGTTGCAGCTTGAAGCATTTGGAAGACGGCAATTATGTATCGTGAGACTGTAATCTAGATTTGATTGCGTTCTGTTGCTTATAGAGAAAAACATAAAGTTAGTCTTTATTGTATTTAGCGAAAGTTGGCCTTAGCCATAGAGCAGTAGTAAAAAGTGCTGATTCCGCGTTCGTTTTGATACAGTCACAGGAGTTGCCAATAATAACCATGGTAGTATCACCAGCGTAAGAGAAGATTTTGGTATAGTTTAGTGACACACTGAAAAGCTCATGATGTGAATTAGGAATAAGGTGTGCCCAAGAACTGAGCCCTGTGTTATCATCATCATCATTACAGCCCTTCACAAGTCCACTGCTGAACATAGGCCTCCCGCAAGTAATGCCACAAAGCACGGTCCTGAGCCACCTGCAGCCATCGACTTCCTGCATGTCTTACCAGGTCGTCACTCCATCTAGTGGGGGGAGGTCGCCCTACACTACGCCTACCAGTACGAGGCTCCCACACGAGAACCTTTCTTCCCCATCGGTTATCGGTTCTTCGAGCTATATGGCCGGCCCATTGCCACTTCAGCTTACTAATCCGTTGGGCTATGTCGGTCACTCTGGTTTCACTGCGGATATCCTCATTTCTGAGTCTATCACGCAGTGAAACTCCGAGCATAGCCCTCTCCATAGCTCGCTGAGCGACCTTGAGCGTCCTCATACGGCCAGCAGTGAAGGACCACGTCTCAGATCCGTAAGTCATCACTGGCAACACGCACTGGTTATACACTTTAGTTTTCAGAGATTGAGGTATACCTGACGAGAAGATGTGTCGTAATTTCCCGAACGCTGCCCGGGTTGATGTCTCTGGGCAATACGTACTCCCCAGGTAAACGTACTCGTCAACAACTTTGAGCATAGTGCTCCCAACAACTACCGGCATAGGTGTGACATGGACATTAAACATGATCTTTGTTTTGTCCATGTTCATCTTAAGACCTATCCGTTGGGAGACATCAATGAGGTCATTGAGCATAGTGCTAGGGTCCTTCAGCGATTCTGCCATAAGGACTATATCGTCGGCAAATCGAAGGTGAGTGATGTACACGCCATTGATGTTAATACCGTATCATTTCCAGTCCAGTAGCTTGAAAACGTCTTCCAACGCAGCGGTGAAGAGTTTCGGGGATATAACATCACCCTGTCTTACACCTCTCTGCAGTTGGATAGGTTTCGAACTCTGGTTCTGTACTCGGATAGCCATCGTAGTCATACTGTACAAACACTTCAGCACTTCGATATACCGACAGTCAACTTGGCACCGCTGAAGGGACTGTAGCACCGCCCAAATTTCGACGGAATCAAAGGCCACATTCAATTTTTCAAACAAACAAATTTCTCATAGTCCACATATGCCAGGCAAAGTGGCAGATTGTACTCTTCGGTCTTCTGTACAATCAGCCGGAGGGTATGTATGTGGTCTATGGTACTGAAGCCTTTTCGGAAACCGGCTTGTTCGGGAGGCTGGAAGTCGTTGAGTCTGCGTGCGAGACGATTTGTAATGACTCTCGAAAACAGCATGTAGACGCGGCTCAGAAGGGAAATCGATCTGTAGTTCTTCAAGAGAGCGTTGTCGCCTTTCTTAAAGAACAAGAACACCGCGCTTCTGCTCCACGCCTCCGGAGTAGTGCCACCATGGAGGACGGAATTGAAGAGGTTCTGAAGGACTTCAAGTACCGGTGTTCCACCCGCTTTCAGAAGCTCCGCTGTAATTCCATCTTCGCCCGGGGCCTTGCCGTTTTTAAGGTGATGGAGAGCCATTCTAATCTCGCTCAGACTGCCGTGTAGTGGCGGTTGAGAATATCCACTACCCCATATCTTCCCGTGGGTGTCGTAAGAGGCGACAGAGGGAGACAGGCAGGAGATGGGCAGCAGCATCTTCCTGATAACAACTGTGTTATAATAAAAAACTGCGGTTGCCAACCCGCTCGCCAAGCGTGGCAACTATGGCAAATATCCCCCCATGAATAATGACGCAAAAAAACGGCCCCCAGTCCCCGGCGGCCCCGCTATTCCTGGCTACTGTGGCGACCATGGTAACGGCAGGGCAGGGGGTGCTAAGAATCTCCGGTGGAGGTTCGGTTGCCACCCTGTGTTATACCAAAAATTAAATCAGCATCACTGCTCACAAAACTACCCACGCTAATTTTCTGCTCCCTTCCACTCAGATAACTTTTAATTAAATTTAATGGAGCGCCTCTAACACCATATTTTTCTAGTTTTCGTACGAAAATGGGAACGGAGACGGTGTCAAAGGCTTTCTTCAGATCTAAAAATATTATGTAGCAATCGCCTCCACTGTCCAACTAATTAGTTATGAGTGATGTTAGGAACAAAACAGCATCTTGGGTAGATTTTCCTGATTGGAAGCCGCATTTAGATTCTGACAATATATAAAATAAGATTGTAAAATTTATTCAAGCAATATTGTAACAATTTAACTATATTATGAATATAACTAATATCAAAATATTACGATTATTCGTATGCATATTAGTGTAATAAGTTCTTGAATGATGATGAACTCTAGAGTCGAGTGCCAATAATTCTTCCATAATCGTTTACCGTCATGTTATAGTTTCTACCCCTATATTACTCACTCTTTATGATGCGAAACTCCAGAGGATTAATAAAATAACTGAATATTAAACCCTGCTTGCTGCTTCAAGTACGTGTTTTTTCAGTTCGCACTTTTTAGTGGTAAATAATAAAAATACTTACATCTTCAGTTTCGTCTAATTCTAACAGACAGGCATCTTTATCGACACATAAGTCGAGTACTGGTGGTTCTTCAGTCTCTGCTGCCCCACCATTGCAACCCTGCTCCGGGGGACCTGAAAGATTATTTTTATAGAGTAAGAGTGCCAAGTGCTCAGTGGTGTGGACCACTGAGAACTTGGCACTCTTATGGTACATCTACTCCATTCTCGAAAGAATGTAGGTGCGTTGTCAAAAAATAGCCTAAAAATCTAGATGGAATGTCTCGTTTCCAAAAAAGATCTCCGGTTCTCTACACGAACCACACGAAACACAGCAGCATTAAAATGCTATTTCACGATAGTATTCTGTGAGAGCGTTAACCTTAGCGAGCCGACCTGTCCTTGCTGCATCCATAATAATATGGTATCTAATTTTATTTTCCCCAAACACAACATCAGACGGATCTAAATCACCGTTCATACTTGCTACAAATGTCACGCGTTATGAAAACGTGTTACTCCATTCAACACGTAAACGTAAATATAGTCTCACAAGGACTATGAATAAATAACTACGAGAATAAAACATTAAATCTTGTTAATAACGCATGTGACAATAATCAATGGTGCGTAGTATCCATATATTTGCAAATGTGGACGCACCCTAATGGAAAAAGATAAGACATAACATGTTTTAATACAAGAGGTTAACCTTATAAAGAATATTCATTACTCCACATCGTCTCATGGATGCCGTAAGAGGCCACAGAGAGAAACTAAGGCACACGAGTTAGGCAGCAGTATCTCTGCGATAACAACTCAAAATAATTTAAAACTGCGGTTGCCAACCCAGTTGTTAAGCGTGGCATCTATGGCAAAGTTCCCTCTATGAGGCAATCTATGGAATAGTTCTATGTTGGGAGTTGACTTTTATAGGCTGCAATGGATAAAATACAAGTAGTAAAAATAGAAGACTGATAATTTTCTCTTCTCCGCGGTTCTCGGCTCCGTGGCGCAGTGGCTTAGCGATGAGCGGCTGCGCTGGAAGCCGCGGGTTCGAATTCCGCACGGAATAAGTATTTGTTTGTCTTTGAGCAATTTGTGTTTTTAAACTGCCTCCACGATACAGGAGAAAATCCTAGTGTGAGAGTAACGTATTTAAAAAAATTATTTGAACTGTACAAATAATGTTTGGGAATTATATCTACAGGGTTATTTTGCGATAACTCGCCAAATTTGCAGAGAAAGTTCAGAATAAGTAATATAGGCAAATGATGTAGGTAAATTAATCAAAAAAAAATCGCAAACATTTTATCCTTTTTATCTTTTAAATTCAAAATGCGAGGTAATGCATTATTTTAACCGATTTACTGCGCACGCACACATTCATATGGGTGGATTGGTAGGCAAAAAGTTATTTCCTAAATGGCATTCAATTTGGAACAATTTCAAATAAAAGTAAAAGCCCTATTTACTCATGGTTTCAAAAACTGCAATAACGTTATAAAAGTAAAAGTAAAAAAAAGTTACAGCCTATATACGTCCCACTGCCGGGCACAGGCCTCCCCTCATTTCTGAGAGGGTTTTAGGCAAGGAAGTGTCCGCCGCGCTGCCCCAATGCGTGTTGGCGAACTTCACATATCTTCGAAATATTTTTTTTCTCATATTCCTCAGACATGGAGATTTCCTCACGATGTTTTCCTTCACCGCCGAGCACGTGGTAAATCAGCACTTAAAATTGCAATTAACAATTTCATTGGTGCCGGCGGGGATCGAACCCGGGTTACTCGCGTTCTGTTATATTTACAGCGAGCGTTAACCATCTGAGCTACCACGGCTCCCAATACCACAATACCACCATAACTACTATACACTACCACAATAACGTTATATCATTATTTATATATTAGAACTTAAGTTTAAAATTTGGTTATTCTTTGAAAAATAACCCTGTATAATAATAAATTAAAATTTACTACTTAAACATCTCTCACCCACGTCGTATCCATTGGCGATTAAATTGGCATGGAAGGTGTCCCGCAGCGCTTTTTGAATTTCCAACGCGTTTTTGTCGTTTTCAGATGCCTGCGATGACAAAAAGTACCAAAAGAAATACTAAATGTTTAGGATTTCAATTATGTAATGTCCTTAAGAACCAAAAAAATATACTCTAGGTTTACAATGTAATTACGCAGCCCTTTAGTATAGTAGCGGTCAGTCAGGAGCGCACGCCTCCGCCAGGCACGCACACTGTCACACGGTGCATGTACATGTCGAATCACATCCATAGGTCGACCGCACTCGTGAATTGCAAGAACTGTAGCACTTGTATAAGGGTATTGTACCAAACAACGGAACTATTAAATTTATCGTTGATTGTTCCTGACGTCACAGTCCATTATTCTCCCCGGCTCGTATCAGCCAACAGACGTAAAACCGGTTCTGCGAGCGGTCGCGAACGCAAGCATAAGGGCTACTCCTGTATATTTTATCAGAACCTATTAAATGACCTATGCAGTCTACATATCGAATTTATTTAATTCAAAAATTCCACCAGCACAAGTAGAACTTGATATGCGTTGATGTAAAATGATGATGTAGATTACTACATTTTAAAGTTTTTTTTTTTCAGTTATACAGCCTTGTTTTTGTTCCAAGTATTTAAAGGATGAAATTTTATTTCTTTTCAAAGCCGTATGTATGTACATTCCGTAGATACATTTTGATATTATTAAATCGCCCCTACAAACCTTGTAGTGTCGGTGTAAGAATATATACTACCCTATATCATCCCGTAGGTGTCGTAAGAGGCGACAGCATACATATATATTATATTATATTATAGTACCTATATATAGTATAGTAAAAAACACAGCGATTGCTAAATATATTTACCATAGTTGCCAGTTTACTAAACGCGGCAACTATGGTAAATATCTTCCCTATTAGGGAGATCTATCGGGGAGGCCTACTTTTGAAAGGCGTTTAATAACAAAAAACAGTTTTCAAACATATTGCGAAGCTAAAGTCATATATGTATATTCTTTAAACTTTCGTCCGACAGATCTCTCTAATACAACTCTCTTTTGCAAAACAAATACAGTTTTAATATCACTACAGGAAAGGGGTTGTAAGTGATAGTACCACTGCAACTGGTTCACGGCTGCAACATGGAAGAGTTGGCTCGACTGGTGTAGATACCCTTCGGCCAGAATTCTTTAATGTAAATGATAGAATCAGGCGTTACTTTGCGGAAATCCATTATAATAAAGACATTAATAGTTACTTTGCAACCATCTGCTCAAATGAATACAATGATGTGTACCTCCCTCAATTGCGTGCACTAATCCCGTCACCACTAGTCCCAGCACTACTACTCCCAACACCACTACTCGCAACACCACTACTCCCAACACCACTATTCTAGGAAAGACACACCATCGACGATAATACGACACGTGTTTTGTCTCTACACGAGGCATCTTTAGGTGATGTAGACTCTACGGTGGCTGACCGCTAAGATCTTAGCGGTCAGCCGCCGCCATTCTTTAGTGTGATGAAAACTTGAATCCTTTTGTACTAGTAACGACAAACTCACTCTTCATCATCATCATCATCATTACAGCCCTTCACAAGTCCACCGCTGAACATAGGCCTCCCCCAAGTAATGCCACAAAGCACGATCCTGAGCCACCTGCATCCATCGACTTCCTGCATGTCTTACCAGGTTGTCACTCCATCTATTGGGGGGTCGCCCTACACTACGCCTGCCGGTACGAGGCTGCCACTCGAGAACCTTTCTTCCCCATCGGTTATCGGTTCTTCGAGCTATATGGCCGGCCCATTGCCACTTCAGCTTACTAATCCGTTGGGCTAAGTCGGTCACTCTGGTTTTACTACGGATATCCTCATATTATTACTATCGCAGATATATTACTATCTAAGTCACTCTTAGATAGTAATATATCTGCATTTTACCAACAGATGGACAGGATACTAGTTTGTCATCTTAATTGCATTAAAAAAAGCTTGGCTCGGCATTCAATATGATGAGAGGCCATTTCTGTGAACGAAGCTTAACTAAATTGAAATCTCGGATGACGATCGGTCTTTACTTCGTTTTTGTGAGACAGTGACAGCCATATTAATGACGTACTTTGATTGTAGGAGGTGTGGGCGCTGGCAGCGCAACCAACCGCATCGCTGTACCGCTAGCTAGCGCCATCACACAGCGTTCGCCGATTGCTATCTGTGTTTGTAGAGAAAATATCGCATTTGCGCCCTGCAAAAAACGAATATAAAAATCAATGGTACGGACTGCTGTGAATAACATCGATGATTAATGTTAATTATTTTTTAAATATTAAATATATCGCTTAGTCTAACGATCTTGTATATAATTTTATTATGATTTTTTATCGATTCAATTGAAATATATATATATATATATATATATATATATATATATATATATATATATATATATATATATACAAAAACCCTGTGGTTCCTGTTAGGTGTGTTATCGGAATCAGTATCCAAGCGTATTAAATGAGTTTTTTTTTCACAAAAAAACTCATTTAATAAAATTTAATTTTAGTGAAAAAAAATTTTTTCCGCAAATTGTATGTGGTTTTATTTCCTCTAACTCATACGAGTATCGGTAATGCGAGGTCTTTGACAATCCTCTTACTCCTCAGCCAATGCAAAGATAATAAAACCACATACAATTTGCAAATTATTTTTTTTTCATTAAAATAAATTTTTTTTTAAATGTGTTTTTTTGAAGAAAAAAAACACATTTAAAAAACACATTTTGTTTCTAAATGCTTGGATACTGACTCTGATAACGCAGTTAACGGGAACCACAGGGTTTTTGTTACATATTGTATATATATATACTTAACATGATTTTAATACTATTTTACTAAGCTCTTCTTTTAGGTGAGTTATTCAAAATAAGAAACGAATTGCTTTACAAACAAGCAAACTTTGCTTGTGTATATATAAAATTGGGGCTGATGGGAACATAGTGGCACACCCAAATTAGATTTAAAGCTTCCACTGATTGATAGGTGACTAGTGCTACATTTAAGTTACTTATGTCCACTTTTGTAATAATAAATGTTTCGATTTATCAAAAGCATAATGCATATATGCAATTATTTGCGATCTATACTACGTAAAGTATTGTTCACTTTCAATCAACTTTTTTTTACTAGCTACGAATTGTTTAATTAAAGAGAAAAACAGAATTAAGTTAGTTATATTTGTGTAATTAATCTTAAAATTTCCGTGGACGATGGGTTTAAATTAATAGTTTTTGTAACTATATCAGAAAAGATAAATTGGTAACAAGTTGTAGAAGCTGAGACTAGTCTTGCCTTAATGAGCAACTCTAGCACGATCCTCAATGCGGGTATAATAATATTACGAATTAGTTTCTACGTATCGATTTCCCACGATTTCGGCAGTGACAGATGTAAAATACAATTTGCTAATCCTCACAGGATAAGTATAACCGGTTCTTCTCAACTTCATAACCTTTTCAGAAATTAGTGTCTGCCTTGCAGTGTAATGTTTACAAACAGTTGTATGATTTTATGATTTTGCTACGCACGGGACACTACAGCGAGGTTAGCCAAATAGATTTTCTACAATCGTTAACTCTAATAGAAAGCTATAAAAATGAATGAAATCGACGTTTTCACCGACATGGTTTATAGTCGATATTATGTGGATGTCCATGGGCTTCATCGCCTACATCAGATGAATTTTGTGCTCGTGTGTCACCCTAATTCTATAAAAAACCTTACTGATGAAGATAACACGATCGGACGCAAAAAATATCATACACAAATACTAATTTTGGCACAAAATTTTGACTCCAACTGGGAGTTATTTGGTTGCCATATCCATACCAAACTGTTAGTTACTTTAGATGGTAGTTCAGTCAGGTAATAATGACATGTGTAGCGAGGCTGTTACTGACCTGCATCCTCAGCTTGGCCAGCAGCAGCTTGTGCAGCTCATACTCAAGGAACGGCAGCTGGTCGGAGATTTCGCGAGCGCCCAGCTCCGAGGCGGGCTAGATGTGTAGCGAGGCTGTAACTGACCTGCATCCCCAGCTTGGCCAGCAGCAGCTTATGCAGCTCGTACTCAAGGAACGGCAGCTGGTCGGAGATGTCGCGAGTGCCCAGCTCCGAGGCGGGCTAGATGTGTAGCGAGGCTGTAACTGACCTGCATCCTCAGCTTGGCCAGCAGCAGCTTGTGCAGCTCGTACTCAAGGAACGGCAGCTGGTCGGAGATTTCGCGAGTGCCCAGCTCCGAGGCGGGCTAGATGTGTAGCGAGGCTGTAACTGACCTGCATCCCCAGCTTGGCCAGCAGCAGCTTATGCAGCTCGTACTCAAGGAACGGCAGCTGGTCGGAGGTGTCGCGAGCGCCCGGCTCCGAGGCGGGCTAGATGTGTAGCGAGGCTGTAACTGACCTGCATCCTCAGCTTGGCCAGCAGCAGCTTGTGCAGCTCGTACTCAAGGAACGGCAGCTGGTCGGAGATGTCGCGAGCTCCCGGCTCCGAGGCGGGCTAGATGTGTAGCGAGGCTGTAACCGACCTGCATCCTCAGCTTGGCCAGCAGCAGCTTGTGCAGCTCGTACTCGAGGAACGGCAGCTGGTCGGAGATGTCGCGAGCGCCCGGCTCCGAGGCGGGCTAGATGTGTAGCGAGGCTGTAACTGACCTGCATCCTCAGCTTGGCCAACAGCAGCTTGTGCAGCTCGTACTCAAGGAACGGTAGCTGGTCGGAGATGTCGCGAGCTCCCGGCTCCGAGGCGGGCTAGATGTGTAGCGAGGCTGTAACTGACCTGCATCCTCAGCTTGGCCAGCAGCAGCTTGTGCAGCTCGTACTCGAGGAACGGCAGCTGGTCGGAGATGTCGCGAGCGCCCGGCTCCGAGGCGGGCTAGATGTCTAGCGAGGCTGTAACTGACTTGCATCCTCAGCTTGGCCAGCAGCAGCTTGTGCAGCTCGTACTCAAGGAACGGCAGCTGGTCGGAGATGTCGCGAGCTCCCGGCTCCGAGGCGGGCTAGATGTGTAGCGAGGCTGTAACCGACCTGCATCTTCAGCTTGGCCAGCAGCAGCTTGTGCAGCTCGTACTCGAGGAACGGCAGCTGGTCGGAGATGTCGCGAGCGCCCGGCTCCGAGGCGGGCTAGATGTGTAGCGAGGCTGTAACTGACCTGCATCCTCAGCTTGGCCAGCAGCAGCTTGTGCAGCTCGTACTCGAGGAACGGCAGCTGGTCGGAGATGTCGCGAGCTCCCGGCTCCGAGGCGGGCTAGATGTGTAGCGAGGCTGTAACTGACCTGCATCCTCAGCTTGGCCAGCAGCAGCTTGTGCAGCTCGTACTCGAGGAACGGCAGCTGGTCGGAGATGTCGCGAGCTCCCGGCTCCGAGGCGGGCTAGATGTGTAACGAGGCTGTAACTGACCTGCATCCTCAGCTTGGCCAGCAGCAGCTTGTGCAGCTCGTACTCGAGGAACGGCAGCTGGTCGGAGATGTCGCGAGCTCCCGGCTCGGAGGCGGGCGGCGCACGCCGCACTCGAGCCGCTGAGTACATCATTACACAAACGATATCAACACACGACCGATGTCAACCTTTAGTAGGTTTCACATTCAATAAAGCTCTTTTTCGGATTTTATCGCGTTTAATTTTACTTATTTTTAATTCCTGACGCTTTGCGTGCTTTGCAGCATTTGACGTTTCGATATCAACAAAAATTTCAAATTAACCCGGAGTACCTTCAGGTTTTTAATTATTTTTACATTGGCACGGACGTCAATCCCTCCTTGATTATACTTGATACAAAGAACCCGAAATATCAGGAATAAAAATAAATAAAATTAAACGCGATAAAATCAGTAAAAATAGTTTTATTCAATGTGTAGTGTTCGCGTGTACATAACAGATCATGAAACAACTAATTCTCAATCAATAAAAACGACCCCTACTACTTTGTAAACCTATCCTATCCACATTTTAATATACTAATAATAACTTTTATCGCTGCGTGGGGAACCAGTAAAATTTCACATTTTAGTCTTTTCTCTGTGGAGCTGTAATCGCAGTTGTTCAGGAACTGCAATAGTCTACTAGGATGGACAAGCAACTCGTTTATGTAAATACTTCCATTGTGCACGGGTCTAAAGCTATCTTCAGAACTCTTTTTCTATCCAATATCGTAGGATAAGGATATGGCGATAGTATATATGAAATAATGTTTCATATATACTCGTACTATCGCCATATCCCTATCCTACGTGAGATATACTCTGTCGATGTACAAACAATGGCTACTGAGTTCTTTCTTCTTTATTAGTCCTTAAAAGTTAACTGAAACCTTGCTAATATTCAACTTGACGTCTCTATTTCCCTATATCATAACTTAAAAAATCATTCAATGGTGATAAACAGACCGAAATGAAATCAATATGTTTTTTTTGAAATTCACTGCCGTACATAGGCCTTTTTATAGAAGAGGGGACAAACGAGCATGCGGCTCACCTGATGTTAAGTGACTATCGCCGCCCATGATCAACCGCAACACCAGGGGAATTACAAGTGCATTGCCGGCCCTTTAGAAAGAAGTAAGCTCTTTTCACACTTAGGGCTTTTTAAAATTGCGTCCGTTCGCAAGCAAGATACACATTTTCCCATACTCATCACGCTGAGCTGGACAGTTGGTAATCGCAGGGCTGTGTGGTTTCGGCGCATGAGAATGAATTACCCCATTTAGTCTTGTAGGTGTCGTAAGCAGCGACTATCGAGTATACCAGAAAGATGTCGTTGCCGAGAGATGGCGGTATAACATATCATTAACGTCAAACGTCAAACAACCACACCGGAAACGGCTGGCAGCGTCAAAAGTGCAAGACGTCTGACACTGCACTCGATAAGCAGCTGGGAGAGACTTTTATAATCCGATAAAGAAAACTTTTCCATCTAGTTTTCAGAGGAATTTTATGTTAATTCTCAAAGATGATACTATTGTGATCTTTATTTGAAGTTGATTCCAGGCGAGATGCAAATCACTTATCATCAGGATAGCTTTTGGGACGTTTATCACTCCAGTGTAACATATTAAAAAAATAGACGCCGAAAATCGACGACACACAAATCCGGTTCTAACAAATAAATTATGAAAATATCTAGATGCTTACCCACGGCCGTGATAGTGACGGCTATAGGGTAAGAAACCAGTCGGCTGGGCTTAGCGCAGGTTGCCAACAATACTGTAGGGACTCGAGCTCGTCTGAAAGAAAGAAATTATTTTCATAATCTACTCAGCGAATTATTGAATAGTTATGAATTTAAAGAAGAAAAAACAATTAATTCAAAAAATATTGCAGCCTCTACTTTATTAAAGAATATTAGCAGTGCTGTTGACACTACTAACATACACGTTAACCAAATTCAAATTCAAATTGTTTATTGCATGTCACATTACAAATTTAAGATGGTACAATTTTGATCGGTATACATGTGACGCCCCGCAAGGGCATAGCAACACTAGAGGGCTAACTATTTTCGTATTATCTAATTTTTAAACATAAATTACAAATTATCATATCATCAACATTCAATATTATTTTATATAAATTAATTTAATTTGAAACACAATGAATAGTCTAAGTATTCTTACTTTATCGTTATTTATCGTCAAAAAATTCATTTAAATTATAGTAACATTTATTAATAAAAAATATTTTTAATTGTTTATTAAATTGCACAGGATTTTCCAGGATTTTTATGGAATTTGGTAAATGGTTATAAATCTTTATTGACATAACGTGAGGGCTGTTTGAAACTAATTTTAATTTGGAGAAGGGTATCTTAAGCTTATATAAATTTCTATTATTTCTTTTAGTCTTTTTAATAGGTGAGTAGAGTTTTGGGTGCTTCCTAACAAATTTACAAGATTCGAGGATGTAGATATATGTAAGTGTCAAAACCATTCAAGTTACAACCTTTAACAATTTCCCTGTCCGCAAAAAAGACACAATTGAACAATCAAAATGTTCATATATGGGTCACGAGACAGTGGAATAGTTAAAACGCTTGTTTTAAGTATGTTCGAAAAACGGATTGAAATACATGACCTTCAAGTTTCGAAGCCTGTGCCCTCAATTAATAGTTTACAGTCGGATCAGTGGGATAAGCTGAGCTAGGTCTCCCCTAGTATAAATAAATCAATTATTAATTACTATTTTAAGGACTGGTTTATTTCGTGTCTAGGGTTAAAGGTCTCTTTCTGCTCTAAAACCCTCCTAAAAATTAGAAGTCTGCTCTTAGCAGTACAAGGGAAGAAAACGAAAATGTTAATTTGTTGAGGTTTTTTCTGGTTATAAATTGCCGTAACGGGCTTTTTTATCGAATGAATATAGTTTTTGTATCAGTCTCGTTTTATCATACGAAATTCCATACGACTTTCATTGTCATCATCATCATAATCATTACAGCCGTTTCACAAATCCACTGCTGAACATAAGCCCAAGTAATTCCACAAAGCACGGTCGAGAGCCACCTACATCCATCGACTTCCTGTATCTCTTGCTAGATCGTCATTCCCTTAATTAGGAGGCTACTCTACACTTAACACTAAGGAAATTAACTTTTGTTGCATCATACTAAAACGCCTGCCAAAAGTTTTATGATGTTTATAATGTATTTTACTCATAGTTTTGTTCTGTAAGGTTTTATTTCCATTTTATTATAAAATTTCTTATCTTTGCTGTTTGTAGCGTAAAAAATAAAAATATTATTTAGTTAAGTAAGGTATATACTTTTATTCGTGTTGTTTATATTAGAAATTATTAAAATATCTTTATGTCTTTACTGAAATTCATTCATTACAATTTAACAAAGTCCACTCGTCATAGATAGCCTTGTAAAAAAAAATGTTAGGAAAAAATTGACGACCAAAATGGACGACAAAGGGTAGTTGATATTCTTACACCGCTACTAGGTACACTGTGGTTTTGTTAAAATAAATAATACTCTAATCTAATTATAAGCTGTTTTCAATGTTCGTGAGATTTGTTTTTACACCATAAGATTTTCGATTGATATGACGGTGTCTATTTTATTTATTTATTTATTCTTTATTGTACACCAAAATACATAGTAACAAGTAAAATGAAACGTAAGGTATAATATGTACAACTGACGGTCTTATCATTCTGAAAGGGAAATTTTTCAGACAACCTTTGCGTCGAGAACTGATGTTAACAATAGTTAAAATAGAGTGGGGCGTAAAAAAAATGAAAATACATTGAAAAAATTATAAGTGAAAATGATATATAAAATGATATAATAGATTGAATGAAAAGAGTACGAAAAAGGAAAAGTAATTTATGTAATAGCGTTCTAAGATAAACGACTTAACAAGACTTTCAAAAGAATAAAATGATTAATATGAAAATAAAAAGAAAAATAAAGAGTTTCACAAACGCACAGCAGTGACGTGAGTAAAGGATTTTCTTTAAAAAAGGAGAAAGATTATTAGGAGTAGAGATAGAAAGATTGACAGAGGATCGAAGGAACAGATTATGAGTAAGGGAAAGATACTGGAAATGGTAATTTAAATAATAAGGAGTGGCACGATTAAACAGCACGCCATACACAGCGGAGAGAATGTGAGTATTCCTGCGAAAGCGGATCGGGAACCATTAGAGCTGTTTGCGAAATTCAGACATGTGATTATTTATGTGGATACGCAGCGCGTACGCAGTGCATACGCAATGAGAATGTAGGTGCACGCAGTGTGTACGTAGTGGATACGCAGCGTGTACACAGTGAATACACAGCGTGTACGCAGTGAGCATGTAGGTGCTCGCAGTGTATACGCAGTGGATACGCAGCGTGTACGCAGTGGATACGCAGTTAGTATGTAGGTGCACGCAGTGTGTACGTAGTGGATATGCAGCGTGTACGCAGTGGATACGCAGCGTGTACGCAGTGGATACGCAGCGTGTACGCAGTGGATAGGCAGTGAGTATGTAGGTGGATGCAGTACGCACCGGCAGCCGCCACAGGGCGCCAATTCGGCGCGATAGGGCGGCGCGCCGGCGCAGTAGGGCACGTGCGCCGCGCCGCAGCTCTCCGCCTCCTCCGCCTCCTCCAGCACCACGCGGCTGCCACCGACTACCCACAATACCAATACGTTACCCCCACCATCATCACCACTGCGCCACTATACAATAACAGCTCTATACCTCAGTGGTTTAGCACGGAGTTGCCGTGCTGAAGGCCGCATGTTTGAATCCCGTACGGAACAAGTATTTGTATGGCCTACAAATAATTGTTCCGAAACTAAGTGTTTTGGCCTTCTGCAATTTATGTTTATAAACTGCCCCCACCATTCAGAATAAAATCCAAAAAAAACACATATACTGATATTCTTGATTAACTTTTACAAAGTCCACGAGAGGATTTTCTATTAGACACGAACGAGACAGGTACACTGCTATGTATCGGACGCCATCAAATCTTTTTTTTTTACTTTTATTAGCCATTAATTGATTACTATCCCACGTGATAGTAAGTGATGATTCAGGCAAAAATGGTAAAGCGCAAAGACTTAGCTTAACAAAAACCTATTAACTCTTGCCTTGATGCCTTTTAAACGAGAGTAAATAGGCTTTCGTTTTTATGATTGAATGCAAAGACCGATACAGGCAAATTATTCCACTTCTTTTGTTCCAACCACATTTACGTCGCTTATAAGTCTCTTAGCCCGCCTTTCTATTAAATCCAAAACTGCTTTACTTGAATACTATTCCCAACCAATAATAAGTGATGATATAGCGAAATAACAAAAACCTAATGTCCTTTCTTTCTAATATTTTCTATAGTGTACAAAATCGATAAGATTTTTTAAGGGCAAACGAACTTACAGTCCACCCGATGGTAAGTGGCTACTGCTATAATGTACGAAAGGTGTCAATGAAGGAGACGTGTTGTTGGTACCAACACTTTAATTATACTACTTCATTATTCTACCTTAACACTAATATATATATATATATATATATATATATATATATATATATATATATATATATATATATATTGACATGGGAAGGCTATACTACACTACACCTCCCACCAAAAACAAAAAAAAATATATTGTATAAAGTTAATCCTAATTAAAATCTTACGTTCTAATTAAGTATAATATATAAAATTCGTCTTGGCTTGGGTGGCCTCTTCGCGTATTTGTCATATTATAGTTTTTTTGTCTTGTCCGGTATTGCGTCCATTGCGTGATTATAAAATATATTTTTATTAATATTTATTTGTCGATTCATGATGATTTACATTATTTATTTGAAAAATTTTTATCTTTATGTAGGCCCCGCCGGTGCGCGTGCATTATAGTATCGCACCGCCTGGCAGGGTCGCCATGTAATGTATGAAAGTAACATCTTTCATCATGAAGGAGACATGTTGTACGAAGACTGATGACGGTGTGCAGCGTTAAAAGTCCAACACATCAAGAGATTCATTGATTGACAATTCACCTATCAAGCGTGTCCATTTTAGAAAAACCTCTAAACTAAACAACTGAAGAAGGAAAAGCAGTGTAAAAAAATAGTAGGTAGTACATATTAATAATTATTGATATTTAATTTGATATACAAAAATTAAAAAAAAACTGCAAGCATAATTACATAATAAAGCATAATGAAAAACAAAATCAAAAGAAGTAACACTAATGAAGTGATCTTGAAAAAATATTATATCAAAATGATAATAAATATTTCAGACATCTTAATAGTAATATCACTATTTTTCGCTTACAAATATTTTACCTGTGACAGGAGTTTCATCACTGACGAAATCGCAGTCCAAATTAATAACTGCAGCCGTCCCCGAAGCTGACAAAACGCAAACATCTTCTCTGTAAAAAAATACAATAGATATGACTCGTTTGCAATTTATAAATTAACAAAAATAGCAGGAAGGAATACAGCTTTTACTGCGTACTTTGCTTACGTTGAATCAGTTCTGCGATAGGGACTCATCATATGGGGTAATAGCACGGACATAAAAAAGGCTTTCATTGCACAAAAAAAGTGTGTTAGAGCAATATGTGGTACTTTACCTGACGTGCCATTTCAGCCTTTGTTTAAATCTTTGAACATTTTTACACTTCCTTGTCTACATATTTTCGAAGCAACGAAATAAAATAAATGAGGCACCAGAAATAGGAATAAATTCGTTTCCGCTATAATTCCCAAGAGTGCGAGATTTCATAAAAATTGCTATTGGATATGTATGATAGTATAAAATAAGATATCACAAGTAATTCAAGACCTACTCTTCATTAAATTTAAAAGACAATTTTACAACTGGTTCAGTAAAAGGCTTTTTACACTATACAGAAATATTTGAACTACGATAGGTAATAGTGTAGTGTGTGCTTATATATATGTAGGATAGAATAAGAGAGATTTAGTAATAAACCTACAGTCAAGACCACTAGACGTAGTATCATTTATTCCCCGAATCTCCCCACATTACATGGCGACCCTGCCAGGACACATTACAATAGCAACTTGACTGAAACAAAATTATTGGACCAATTATGAAATCTTTATTAATTATTACCTATTTATTGATAACATCTTGACGTTTTGTTGTGGTACGTACCTCACGGCAACGCGCTCGCAGTAGGCCAGCACGGAGGTGCAGCGCAGCGCACGTGCGTGCGCATTCAGCTCGGTACGTAGCTCTACCCACCCGCCATGTGAGTGCTACACTAGTGTGATGTGGTGCGGTGCGGTACGTACCTCACTGCCACGCGCTCGCAGTAGGCCAGCACGGCAGTGCAGCGCAGCGCACGCAGCTCGGTACGTAGCTCTGCCCACCCGCCATGTGAGTGCTGCACTAGTGTGATGTGGTGCGGTGCGGAACGTACCTCACGGCCACACGCTCGCAGTAGGCCAGCACGGCAGTGCAGCGCAGCGCACGCGCGTGCGCACGCAGCTCGGTACGTAGCTCTGCCCACCCGCCATGTGAGTGCTGCACTAGTGTGATGTGGTGCGGTGCGGTTCGTACCTCACGGCCACGCGCTCGCAGTAGACCAGCACGGCAGTGCAGCGCCGCGCACGCGCATGCGCACGCAGCTCGGTACGTAGCTCTGCCCACCCGCCATGTGAGAGCTGCACTAGTGTGATGTGGTGCGGTGCGGTACGTACGTCACGGCCACGCGCTCGCAGTAGGCCAGCACGGCAGTGCAGCGCAGCGCACGCGCGTGCGCACGCAGCTCGGTACGTAGCTCTGCCCACCCGCCATGTGAGTGCTGCACTAGTGTGATGTGGTGCGGTGCGGTACGTACCTCACGGCCACGCGCTCGCAGTAGGCCAGCACGGCAGTGCAGCGCAGCGCACGCGCGTGCGCACGCAGCTCGGTACGTAGTTCTGCCCACCACGCCGCACGCGCAGCGCTCTCTCCGCCACCATCCACTAATTTCACCGACCGCGCGCAAACCGTACCACCTAACAAATATCACCGACGTTTTTATAATCCGTAAATCAAAAATTAATGCAATCTTACTTATTATAAATCCATAACATAATTGATATAATCAGGCGTTACTTTGCGGAATTCCATTATTTCCAACCTGTATTATAATACAATTGTATTGTCGTCGATGGTGTGTCTTACCTGGAATAGTGGTGTTGGAAGTAGTGGTGCCGGGAGTAATGGTGTTGGGAGTAGTGGTGCTGGGACTAATGGTGACGGAGTTAGTGAATGCAATTGAGGGAGGGCGGGTGGTGCTCTTCAATCCAAGTAAGACACATCATTGTATTTAGTTAGCGGAAGGTTGCAAAGTAATTAATATTTTTATTAAATCCATAACAACCCATAATTGGCTATGGGACTATCCCTCATCATCGTCAATGTTTTGAAAAGCTTAAGTCAATATATATTTTTTTTAATTTTGTCTTAGACTCAACAAACATTTTTATTACTCGTATGCAAACCTCCCTCTTTTACAAAACAGTACAGATTCAGTGTCATTCGCCTTTTCCTATAGCAAAATTATGCTATAATACATGTTGTATTATGACTTGTATCATGATTATAATGGTATTATGATGTGGAAATAGTGAAAGTAAAGACTTTCAATATTTTTACAGTATATGCTGCAGAACTAAGTCTGTATGCTCGTTTAGATATATAGGGACATTGAAGCCTAGAGTCTAAAGTAATTTTAAAAAAAAAACAATATACTTAATCGGGTCATAAGTTCTGTCAAAACCTTATTATTTAAAATTTTTGAATACTGAGTAGATGAACTTCACCAATTTTAAAAATATAATATTTGCGCTTGCAGAAAATAAAAAAGACATTAATTTTCATTAATTTTCAAATACGAAGTAGTCGAAGAAAGAAGAAGAAGAGTAGCGGTTATCGCGTTGCACCGCTGTCGTTATGCGCCAAAAGAGATGTTCAATATTCTACAAAAATTGAAAATAATCCTACGATTTGTTTATCGCACTATCAAACGATTCACTGAAGATTCAAGCTTCGAAGGTTGTAAGAGTACCGGCCGATCTCGTACATTTAGGACACCCGCGATCATCAAAGCAGTAAAGGCGCGAATCCAACGAAATCCTGTTCGTTAACAAAAAATCTTAGCTCCTCAGATGGGCATAAGCAGAACCACGGTCAAAATAGTGAACAATGAAGACCTAAGACTACGAGCTTATCGTAAGAAGACCGGACATTTTTTTTAACGAGCGTTTATAAAAAATTAGGCTGGATAGATTCCGCGCTTTGTCACATCGGTACGCGGGGCGATCAGCGAGGATGTCAGATTACACATTGAATACAATACTGCACACCACTTACATACACATTACCTTTCACCTGACTATGCCCTGTGCTTAACCCTACCTCCGGTAATCGGTAAGTATTGCTTGCTTCTTTGTCAGTCGTTATAGTTTAATTATCCATAGGTCTTGGACCCTCCCCTTTGTTACCCGTCGAATTGGACTACTAATGGGCCCTAGTCCCGATCGGCTTTTTTTAGGGTAGCTCAGGGCCGTAACAATGTGGTAGCAGAGCGTGATTAATTGATGGTTTCTGCCATCATGCCCGGCCGTAATGTGGTAGTTTTTTTTTCGTTTGTTAGCGGATCGGTGGATAGAACCACGCATTCTGGTGACAGACCGTGGTTGATTGGTTTTGCAATCACTCCCGGCCCTAATACGTAATAAAAATATTTTTGTTCTTTTCTTTCTTTGTTCGCTTACTTTGTTTGTTAGAGGTGGGTAGAATTAGAGACCACACCTCTAGGCTGCGCAAGCGGGAGTGTAGTTTGGAGCTAGGTACCGTCACGCGTCGTGTAAGGTTGATAATTATCGTTATTACATAATCGTGTAATTATCGTATTATCGTTATTGCATTCGTATTGTATCGTTGATTAAATCGCCGAAGTGTCGGTCGCCTTAGCGTGGCGTCTTGTACTGACTGTAGTTAGTACTCGCGGTAGAGTAATTGTGTTTTTTTTACTTATTTATATCATTATAGTAAATACATGAGTTAAATGTAATTAACTTGCGAAAACCGTGAGGTTTGTCCGCAAGTTACAGTCTCACACAATTAAAGGTATAGTACAATCACATACATTATACAAACTATTAATACAATCATCTAATTGATGGCTGCTTATAAACAGTAATAATAATATTAAGTAAATACGTACATATTTTTAAGTGATAAATTTCAAATCACCGTAATTGCAAATCACCGACGTTCTGGACGGGCCGTATTGACAGGAAAACCGGTTTCTGTGAGCCCACAAGTGTGAGCGTGACAATTAGATCGTTCTTATCGGGCGCTTGGATTATCTAGTTGCAGAAGCAGTATACAGGTTGGTGCAAAAACTGTGAGTTGATCTTTTTTTTTATTATTATTTATAGTTTTTCATTTTTGTTTTTATTTTAGTTGCAAGTATACATATTTAATCTATATATATAAGAGATATATGTACATATATTTATAAAAATTAGAACAATTAATTGCTGATTTTATAAGTATATTATATAATTTTGTATTTAATATTTATTTACTCCCGTTGTAGCTGTTCATAGAAATATTTTTGAATTTGTTTTTGTAGTTATCTTCATTGATATCTGAGAGTATCGTGGGGGGTATTTGGTTCATTAAAGTAGGAATTAAATATCTATTTGTACCTTACCATAGTAGTTATATATTTTAGGTGTTACGAGTTTATTTTGTATAACTTTTCTTGTAATAGTTTTATGGTTAGTTTTAACTTGCACTTTTTTATTGTGAAATTGTTCTATTAGTATTAGCATCTGAAATTTCGTGTGTATAGGTAATACTTTGCAAAATTTAAATATTCCATTAATATTGTTTTCACTGTATATTTTTATATTTGTGTTTTTACTTTCTTAGGTATAATAATTTGCAATATTCTGATTTGTAGGTTATATATTTTATCTAAGTAAATTTTAAATGTTTTTCCATAACTTGTAATGCCATAAGAAATAAAAGACTCAGCAAGAGCGTTATACAGATTTATAAGGATGGGAAATGGCATTTTGTATTTTAGTATTGCAAACTTTGCTAGCATAGCCCGTAGCTTGTTCATACATACATGCTCATCGTGTTTACCCCAATTGAATCTTTCATCCACAATCAGACCTAGGTATTTATAAGTGTTAACTTGTTCTAGAGGATTACAATTACAGTTAGTATTTAATTTAGACGAACTATGAAGGCAGTCGTGGCTGTGTGATAATATTTTTATTGGTCTTTCGTATTTGTTAGAGTGCATCGAGCGTAAATGTATAATTTTAGTTTTACCAGAATTTAATAAAGTCATGTTGTAACATTTTTTCTGCTTTTGCTATGTCTTTATTGGCTATTACTAGGCAAGTATCGTCTGCATATAGATACACTGAACTATGTTTAATCACATTCCCCATGTCATTAACAAAGGCCAGATAGTGTAAAGGGCCAAGAACCGATCCCTGAGCTGTTCCCGTAGTTACAGGTATTTCATCACTGTAATCATTTTCAATTCTCACCCGGTATTTTCTATCTTTGAGGTAATTTTCACACCACCCTTCCAATTTTTGTATTAATAAATCGTGTTTCAGAGTATCAAATGCTTCGCTGTAGTCAATAAATAAAAGAATTATTTGCTGTTTGTTGTCTAAATAAGTATTAATTTCATCGGTAAATTTTGTTAACAAAGAAGTAGTTGAATTATTTTTTGAAAGCCAAACTGAGTGCTGGACAGAACGTCATTCGATATATAATATTTATGTATCTGACTACATATATATTTTTCAACTATTTTATCTATTACAGGAAGTATTGTAATTGGCCTATAATTGTCATAATCACAGTGCGACACCTTTTTGTAGATGGGTCTCACTATTCCTATCTTTAATTCTGAGGGATAAATACCAGAATGAACACTAGTATTAATCAACTTTGCCATTGCTGTCGTGATTTTTTCACATAAGGATTTTATGTCTATACAGCGAATCTGGTCTGCTCCAGCAGATTCGTTTGTGTTCAATTTCTGGATTATTTTATTTATGCTCTTGCCATCTGCTGCTTTAAACCGCATTGAACTATTCTGAGGAAATTTACTCTGCTTGATTTAAAAGGTTTTGTTTACAGTTGGGTAGTATTTTTTCAACATTTTTAACAAAATCTTTACCAAAATTATTTGCCAATTGTTTAGCTATTAATTTTTTTTTGAAAAGCCTTTAATATCGCCGCATCTAATGATTTATTTACTCTGCCTGTGATGGAATTCAGAATATTCCATAGCTTCCTTGGGTTATTTTTGTTATTATTTATTTCGTGATAATAGTATTTGTTTCGAGACATTTCAATAAGTTTATGTGTTTTATTCCTAATTTTATTAAACTCTAGTCTTAATATTTTATCGGTTGTATCTTTTTTCCACTTGTTATACAGGTAGTCTCTTTTTTCGCAGTAAAATTTTATCTTATTATTTATCCATCTTTCCTTATTTCTTTTACTATTTATGCTATTCTTTGTAGTATATTTAGAATTATTATAACAGTATTCAAAGCTATTTTGAATAAAGTTATATATCTCTATCGGACACTGCATATTATCAATCTTATTCCACTCGACGTTTTCGAGAAGTTATATTAATTTTTTTGTTATTAATTAATTGTTTGAGTTTTGACTCAGCCTGTACGCTGCTGCTGGTAGCCTCAGTTCCGGCGCACGATAGCACGCACATACGGTGATCTGCCAGTACTGTTCCGAGCGCAGCCGAGTAGATGTCCGACGTGCGCGATCTCGCGAATATGTGGTCAATACAACTCCGCGTGATTTTTTCATTTCGAATATCTATTCTTGTAAACTCAGAAATCGCTCTCGTCAGACCACACTCGGCCAAGCAGCTTAAGTAGTAATCATGAATGTTATTCCAGGTCAATATATGTCCCTAAGTACAAGTCAGAGTATTTGA